CTTTCTGAAATAAATCTTACTTAGTTGTTTGTAAAATAAAGTGGTGGTCCTTTATTTAATTAACTTTAATTTTTTTAGATTAATAAATTTATTTTTTTTATCAATTGAAAATAAAATAACAATAAAAACAATAACAAGAAACATGCATTGCAACTAAAAAAATATTGTACTAAACTAAGCTTCCCTCTTCGAGCTAAAAACAATGGCGTTTATAGCATTTTTATCCGTTCTCAAGATATAAGGGCGCGGAGTCCAAATTAGAGAAGATCACTTACAAACCCAAAATATCGATTTAGACAGACAGATTAAAAAAAGTTAAAAAGTTAATCACTGTTAGATTCATTTTGAATTTTTTTTTTTTATTTTTGTATATTATATAAAATGAAGAAAACGATTGATAAAGACACGATACAACACCAAGTAATGAATTAAAAATGGTAAAATATCGAAAAAAGGAAGCTTTGAAGGCCTATGTCTTCTACATTTGGACCCAAGGATTTTTTAAGTTATGTTGTATACAGAGTATCCTCTTTTTTTTCGGAACTAAAATTCATTTTCAAAATAAAATATGGTATGTTTTTACGAGAGTTAAATAAATATTTATTTTTTTATTTTTACTTGATATGAATTCGTTTGATAAAATTTTGAAACTTGGTATTGTCAGTGAGCGCAAAAATATTGTAATATCTGAAAATGACATACAATAATTTTTTGTTTCTTTTAAGTGTTTCAAAGAGTATATTTTTTCTATTTCATTCAAAAACATTTAGGGCATTAAAAGAAATTCTACACTGAAAAAAGTTATACTATTTCATTTGTAAAAAAAGTTAATGTCATGTGTATAAAATTAGTATAGTTATAAAATCGCTTACGTCAGCTGTATCAGTGTCACTGTTGACGTACGCGTCATGGCCAACCAGAACAGAAATTTAAAAAATCGTACGTTACCAACGATATTGTCAAGGTACAAATATTTTTATATCAATTAATCGTTTAAAATTTCAAACTTCTATTTTTCAAATGTCTGAAATAATAGATTGAAGAGGGTTGCCGTAATTTAAAATTCTTGAAGCATTAAACCAAATAAGTGACTTATTGAAAAAAAAAAAAACCATTCTGTTCAACGCACTTAAAAAGCATAAAAAGTTTTATTTGAAACGAAAAAGTTGGTGCCATTTCCGAAAAGCAAAAAAATAGTACAAAATTCGTAAGTATATATACCGTGTTTGAGTCAAAGAGGCCAGGTCTACAGTTGCGTTATATTTTCTGCGACATTATGTCATATGTGAAATTAAATCGTTTACTACGATCTGATTCGAAAAATTAATGTTTAATATTTATTGTGCTTTTTTTTGATGACACCTAAATTTTTTTGTAGAGATTGTTGTATCCCACTGTAATATTTTCAAATATTAATCCTTCAATAAATCATCTTCAATCGTTATAAAGTTATAAAAATTGTCAAATTGCTAATAGAAATTTTGAGATTACATAACTAGACTTGTACAAGCAAATAATTATTAATAAATTCATCACAGCCGTTTTGAGACAAAAAATTAATTAATTTTTCCACAACCTTTTAACAAAATATAACATATTGATGAATGAATTCGGAAAAAAGTCTCTATAAAACCTCTAAAAATATATAGCGTGTCATTAAAAAAATTGAATGTCACAAATAAAAACAAATGATAGCTAAACATTAATTTTTCAAATCAGACCGTAGAATATATAAAGCGATTTAATTTGACGTATTTTCAAACAATGCTGTACTCGAAAAATTAAGACGGTTACCAGACTGGCTTTTTTTAAACACACTTTTTATTTGATACAACCCCTGCAACTTTTTCATTCTTAAAGATAAACCTGTAGTTCTTTGAGGTAATTTGTATCATTTTAAAATATCTATGTGATGGCAACCTCACATTTTTATTATCACTTCCAGTAGAACCGGAAATGAGGTCAACTTTATTTTTTTTATGGAACACTAGGTATATTTTATCATAAATGGAAAGACTGATTTTATTGTAAAACTCAAAAGCAACCAATATTCTAAAATTAATACTTAAAAAGTTATTCAATAAAATAGACGAAAAATTCGTATTTATTGACGACAATCTAGTAGCTTGAAAAATTGACACTCATCATTTATTGGCATAAGTGATCTTTTAAAATGATACAAATTTGCCCAAAGAAAATAAATAAAATTACGGGGGTTGTATCAAATAAAAGAAACACGTGGTACATACCGAGTGTTTTATGTCAATTAATTTACCAAAATTATTTAAAAATTACTCTTTGTATACAAAGTAAATTTAGGAATAAATATTTTTGGAATATCATATTTTAATTTTAGTAATGTTTGTTTTGTAGTTAAAATTGTTATTATATTAAAATAATATAAACTCCCAGACAAAACTTTTCGACAAGAAAACGTCATTTGCTTCAAAATTTTGAAAAGATTCGCATATTATTAGCTATACATCGATGCAGGTTTAGCCACAATTCAGTGTGGTAAAAATTTATTTTAACACCATAACTCACTTATGCGTCGAATGAAAGTTCAATTCTACATTATATTGTCACTTAAAGCTGCAAAATTTTGACACATCAACTATTGTTGCGAATTGACGTTGTCGCTAGTTTTGTTTGTGCCTTTAACTTGAAATTTATGATAAAATTTTGTATGGTAAGCTTTTCCTTTAAGAAAATCCTATCTTGTAAATTCTCTAATCAATTTATTCTCTACACAAATAGTAGTTTTAAAGGAATTTTGGTACATCAGCTCAAACATTGTACACATATTAAGATTCAAATTTTTGTATTTAAATATAATTAATCTGTCAATATATGACAGTCACTTCAAAATTATTTTTCCCTAAGCAAAACTTTTTTGACGTCTTAATAAGGTACCTCAATTAAATCCAAAGCCACGCGTAACTATGTCGTTTTAAACCATTAATTAAAAATATTCTTGCATATTTGTCATGAAATAATTTTGATAATAATAATTCTAACTTATCTCTTAAGCTGTCATGTTTTATATCGCCTTCAGGTTGTTTCTATTTACTTATTAGATAATCAACTAATTAACAAGGCACTCGATTACAGATAACATTTTTATTTTCTTAGTGATATACTACACCAGTACATACAAGTCCACAATGATGCAAACTTTCGTCACCATATTAATATAAACAACAAAAATCAGAAAAAAATATGCCACCACAAATGTATCATCCTCTCGATTCCAATAGTTTACACACACCTTCACTACTTGGTAATATTGCGGCTACCATTTTTTAATTTTTGCCCAATCTGTTTATTTTTGGTCTTAGGCAGCCGGGATATGCACCACAATGGCTACATATTGAATTAAAATAAATACATAAATAAATAAATTCCAAAATTTTATTTTAGGCGCTATCGAATTTAACGATTTTCGTAAATTTATGGTCATTCTCAAACTGTGCAATAAACAGTGCCAGATCCGTTTTCTATTTCCCACTTTCAAATTTACGATGATGTAAAGCAGTGTCGTTAAAAATTAAGAAGCTGATCCACCCTGTTATCTCTTTACAAACTTGTGACATGGTGTCTCCTCCTTAAATCTGTCCCATGACATTTTTATATTGCGTCCTTAAAATAAATTATGTCTTTTTTACTAATCCTCTATAAAAGTTCGTGTTTAGGAGGTCGCCCCCGTTTAATGAGGGATATAATAGATAGCATTATGGCCCTCTAACTAGGAACATGTGTGACATTCACCCTCACATGTGATAGGGCTGCAACACTTGCGGTCTGAAGAGACCCTCAGCGTGGAAGTCTTGTTTTATGTTCGGTATTCAGTTTAAATTTAAAGGGGATTTAGGTTCGATAAGATGCTCGACTTTATGACTCCTCTGTATGTTTTTGGAAAGGTTATAAATTTACGACATTTATCCACGAGAAACGTTCCAGAGTCACCAACTTTGTGTTATCTATACTTCCTACGTTGCGGGAACTATTATTTTCATGATTGACGAGTAAAATGCCACATAATAACCATAAAACTGCTACACCGCTTGACTAAATAAACCTAACCGATTGTGAAATCGATCGAATGTGTTTATTTAAATCATTTTACAGTATTTAGTACAAGGTTCAGATTCCTGACGTAGCAACTAACCTTTTAAACGTTCTGATGGTGTAAGTACCTGTACACTTATTTTAACACATTTTAACATATTTAGGTGCATTGCGCTTTTATGTAATCGGACTTGTTTAGAAAAAATTATTATCATTTCTAGAACCCGGAATTTTCGCAACCGTCTATTCTGATTTATTAATAATTTTAACAGAACGGTAATGGATATGACTAACACCTAACATTTCCATAATGCCGCTGTTTTATGCAGTTAATTCCACATGTTGTATAAACAATTCACAAGACACGTTTTCAGGTCAAGGTCACACCTGTTGTCTTCCTTACGTTACATAAATAATGAAATTTGTTGCTAGAAGCTGATTTATAGTGTCCATTATCATTACGCAGGAGTGCCTCAAGGTCCGTCGTTAGATCCTGTGTTTTTTCTCGTATCAGTACACTGTCACAATTTTCAAGGGTCACTCGAATTTTAATATAAAAACAAAACAACTTAATCTCATATTCTACGTCCTTCAGTATTAAAAAATACTAATAATAAAAATTTTCTAGTCTCTAGTGAAACATCAGAAATTATAATAAGATATATTTTACAAATTGTAATAAATTTTACCCATGAATATTAAATATTTAGCAATAATTTGTTAATAAAAAAGACGAAACCTCAGGTCCAGGACTTCCGCAAATTAAATATTAAAACAAAAAAAGAAACACAAAAAGATTGAAAACATAATGTTATTTGGAATTTTATGTGTCCTTTGGATTAGAATAATTTGAAAACGTATTCACAATTATTATCAGACTGTTTTCCCGCGGTCGCAGGTGATACAACTTATCACTGAAATCAGATACCTACCTTTCTCCACTTTCGGTGTCAGTGGCGCCAACTGCGGTCGACTTCCATTATTACTTGGTTGAATATTTTGCTCACTAGGTGTCGCGAGCTTCTCGGCAAGAATCGGATTCGCTGCGGCAATGGTGTATTTTAGAGAGCGCATCTCTAACATAACTTGCGCACTCTTTTGGTGAGTGGCAGAATTACCCGACGCTTCATCGGCGGCGCAGTTTGGGATATTATTGTTTTCTTCTTGCTGCAACGACATGAAAAATTTAGCTACTGTCATCTAGTATTCTAGTTGTAAACTAGTGATCGTAGGACCTTATATGCAAATTTACCATACTTTAAGGTTTACAACTCAATTTTTTTGCGATAATAATTTCTAATTTATTAACTAACAACTAAAGAATATAATTTAAATGATAAACCTCTTCCAAACTGATATTTTTTGTTAAAGCGATACTTAATACGATAAAAACGGAAACAATTGATAACAGTTCCACGATGATATAATAATAATAATAATACGCTCATAGTAGTTTCAGTAACTAATCAGATATATGCGTTTGATTATTATTTCACAATGTTAATATAATTATGCCATCATAGTATTATTCCTAGGTGTTTGCATTTGATTGCATTAAAAAACCACATTAAACAGTTCATATCTGTGTTATGATATCTACGAGTGTTATGTTATAACAGAATTATAATAAAACATCGTACATCAGTTTGTTTTGGAAAATTTGTCACTGTATTGTAACTAAAAATTTACCGCTGCTTTATTTCACTAAACATTTTATTATAATCTAGAAATAACAAATAACTATATTGTGTGAGTATCAGATGCTTTAGTTCTGTTCAATCAGGCATTCTTAGAAGAAAGGTTCAAAGTGGCTTCCGTTTTGTTGCAAATACCGAGAGAGCTTTAGAAAGCATAGTGACAGATAGCCATGGATTTTTGAAAATTTGTCGTTGATCGTTTCATTTTCTGAAACTTTTCAATTGACTATAATCTAATAAGACAAAAATCTATCAAAGACATATCTTCAAAATCCATGGCTGCCTTGGATCGTGTTTTTAATGCTCTTTCGGAACCTTCTTACGTTTAAAGATAAGTATGTTTAAACTACACCATATTAAACATATATTTTACAGTTATACATATTTTGCGCTAAAAACTATACCGATCTCGACATAAAGGTATAGTTACCTAAAAATATATCTCTAGTGGTAGAAATATGTATTGTGTGCCATATATACTCGTATGGTGAAAAATTGATTGTACGATAAAAGAAAATAATTCATCTTAAATAAAGTTAAAAGTTTTAGATATGAATCTGTGTGGTAAAATGTTTCCTGTTCAAATTATTTAATGTCTCTTGAGGAGTTTATACTCTTTTAGTCGTCATTAATCTTAATGTTTAAGTGTGTACTAAAAATTCAATTAACAATAATTAAACAGCCACAACAATAATCCTGAGAAGTGCAGAAATGCACTGTTTAGAAATAGAGTTAATATTGACAAAGATTACCTATCAGAGAATATCACCAAATTATGAAAGCTGGTTACTGTTGCCTTACAGGAAATTTATTTTGATTATTCAAAATTTACATCAAGTCACACAGAGAATTTAGTGACAAAAAAAAAACGTCAATTGGTTCGAAAATTTTCAGGAGATTTGTATCTCATAGCTATACTTAGAAGTCTGAGTTTAGCACAATCCTATGTCGTACGAATTTAAGGACTAGTGTCATTATATCTCCCCTTCCCGGTCACTTATATCTCAAGTGATTTTCAAATCTATATTAAATCTATCACGTGTCTTTGTATTTTGGGACTTAAATGTAGTGGCTAAAGCTCCAGAATTTTGATAAATTAAGTGTTCTATTGATGCGAATTTTCCTTGTCACTAACTTTTGTCTGTGACTTTACATATGTCGAGGGTATAGAACGAAAACCCGACAACTACATATATATTCGATAACATAATTTAATCTTAACACAATCAGAATCCCTACAGACTACAAGTAAACATTCCTAGTTATTTGACTCGACTTATTACTCGTTTTATTTTACTTTGTGGATAAACTTTACCGTGCAAACATTGATTAAATAATTCTAGCTCTGTTTCGAATTTTCATCACTTATCGGGTTTTCGTTCTATACCTCGATATGTTTTATATTTAAAAATCAATTTATGTGTATTTACGGAGTAAAAACCAACAGTTTTTGCAGTTGATCAGAAGCACAGGGTAATATACTGCTATTTTTATGTAAGGAAAATGATAATACATTGGTACATATTTTAATTTTGGGATAAATCATAAAATCGGATTAACTTTGGTATTAATGCTATAGTGTTAACAAAAACTGTTTATATTTTAGTCGAGTAACAATAGTTCAAATTACAAGCAACCAGCTCACTATAATTAACAAGTAATCTTTTTTATATCAGATTTTTTATATTTTGTATTGTAATTTTTCTTTATTTTTGACGCTTAAGTCATTTAATGAAAATTGTGCCACTATATAAACCACCTTCGGAATTTGATTTCATTTTTTGATCACCTTAAATTAATTTACGTAAGCATATATGTTATAGTCAAAGTGTCAAAGCGAATGTATACACTGACGAGTCAATGTATACGTTGACGTTTGGCTTTAGTCAAAGTATTCACAAACAATTAAATTACATATAACAACATATGCCGCTTTTGTTTTCTTGACAAAGTTTTTGTAATTTTCACTTCCGTTTTTAACATAAAATTTCGTTGTTCGTTGATGTTGCACACTTTGACTGAATGGAAATCGTCATTGTATATAACGACTAGTAAAAGTTTACATATTGTCCATTCTGAACACATTTACTGAGCAAATTAGTCAATGCATACATCGACGGAATGAACATTTTGACTATAACATATATCAATCAAATCAATAAGTGGTAAACCTTTAAATATCAATAGTTGTAATAGTTAATTGGGGTATTCTCAAGAGCTTTTATTTATAAACTGTTCAGTGTTTTGCTTGGTCAATACAATGTAAACGTACTGATCCACTAACTTTTGGAAGATTCATCTAATGCCTTTACCTTAATAAAAGGAGTAGAATTAAATTCATTAAGCAAAGTGTCTATTTCAATAGACGTCGTATCGGATAAATGTTTAAAAATGTCCTCATTGTCGGCGATATTCGCTTCTGGCAAGGGAGGAACAAGCGAACTTAAGTCCGACTGTGATAATTCGCCCAAACCCATTCCTGTGGTATTCTGTTGGGCTCCAGGTACTGATGCATCCTAAAAATACAATTATGAACACTTTTAAAATTACAGTTAATTATTATAGTTACTTGAAGGCAAGAAGAGATGTCGACCATTTTACCATCGTGATCAGAACTCCATAGTAGATCGTTGTCGATAAAGGGCATCGCCAGCGACATAGGCGACTGGGCCCCTAGGACGTGAGTCCCCGCCACGATGTGGCTGGAGGACTCCTTTTCCCCCGATTTTAGTAGTCTTTGGAGGAAATTTTGTACTTCACAGGATTTTTGCCACTACCCTACTTGTAGGTGATATTCTATCACAAGTGATCTGAAATCAAAACAACAATTAGTTTGCAGTTGTACACTTTGTAAAAGATACATATAAATTGTCGACATGTTGCAAAATTTTGAAAAAAAAGATATGTGTACAAATGTGTGTTAATAAAAGAAAATTGTAAACCAGTGGAAACCACTGTTGAAAAACAATATTTTAGCACAGTGAATACGTGTTGTACAAGCTTTATTTATCCTATTTTTTACGTATTAGAGCATATGGTATCTTTAAAATTTTGATTATTGCTTCCGTATCATAAAATTAATTTGATAGTCATGAATTATGCTACTAAAACTTGAATTTAATGTTGAAATCATGCTATTTTAAAATACACTTCCTTCTATAACATAAATTAAATAATTATTAATATGTACATCCTTACGTTGACTTTTTTAATGCGTACGCAAATTTGAAGAGTAGTGAAGAAATTTCCGGCGTCCATAGACAAGAAAAACAAAATTAAAAATTACAAATTTTTAATGTAAACCCACAAAATTAAAGAGTGGAATTAAGTATATATATATGCATCATGTGTGTGGTGCGGCGCTATATGTACAAGTGGCCATTTTCACTTTCATTTCAACATATCAGTTATCGTTAGATTAAATTAAGGCTAGGTGTTTATCATACTATGATTAATTCAAACAGGCAGATAAGTTATCTTTCTACACGTGCATAACCACAAAAAATTGGTCGAAAGTTGTTTCGACAGAACTTCCCTCGCCCCTGAAGTACAACGAAACATATCCAGCATTTTCGAAAAATTATAAAATTTGATTTGCGGATTTTATATTTTTTATGAAAACTGCTATAAATTTTTACTTTACAAAATTTTATGATGACGTCAATCATCATTTTTGCAAGAACACTTACCAACTTAGGTTGGTGCAGTATTAATAACGTATTAGATTCCCCTCCCTCGGAAAAATTTTGGGACAAATGGAGTGAGCCGTTCTTGATTCAATCAATAAAATAAATTAGTTACTCTATTCATGCAAATTTAAAATATATTAATGGGATGATAATTACACTCATCATATTTTGCACAATTTAGCTAGGATTTATTCGGCAAACTTTTGGGTTGACGTCATCAATTTTTTGGATTGGATAAGTAAATATATTTTGATTAAAAATTTATCATGCTTATCGTAACTGTAAGCCATATGCAAGATTGCACAGCATTCTGTTTTGTAGATTCAAAATTAAATTGCAAAATGTTGTTTCATAATTTTGATTTTTTTTCCAGAAATCTGGACGTTTCGGGTAAAAACTCAATACAAAATCATAAACTACATGTGTAGGACTATGTTATTTTCAACAATTTAAAACCCATTTGCTAAGTACAATTTTAAAGTGAGTGGCTTCATCACATTATTAGTGGGGATGATTAGACAAATTTTGGTTAGCGTTTTACCATCTACATGATATTCGTAATATAAATACAAAATTTGACAACAATCGGCCCAGTACTTTCGGAGATTATCTGTCTAATAAAAATCCGGGACGGCAGACAGACGGACAGACAGACGGACGGACAGATAGACAGACAGACGGAAACCGGAAACCTATTTCTTCATACTGTAGGGGTCATGAAATGTCGAGAAAACGTAAAAGTGGAGAATCGATCGACGGATTTAATTACAATACTTCCTCGGGAAGTAATAAAGGAAAAAAGACACTGTTAACAACGGGATAATGTTGGCGAAAAACTGTTTACGGCCATGAGAGACTTTACAAAGTCGTTTACAGGAATTTATAACTTTCAAGTGAGCAGTACTAATTAAGGATTTTGATAAAGTAACAATATCGGCACTGAGATGTGAACAATTGGGAAAGTGTACGATCGCTTCTAAATGAAAGTTTCCTTTACACAGAGACCGTACGGCTGTAACTAATTTCTGTTTAGATTGCCAAATATATCTTTAATGACGTCTACGGATCTGTATTGATTTCACTAAAACGTTCAGAGTCGGGGACTGTGCTTTCCGCCGCTTGTACCACGTTTAATTTTCCATCGGAATATTACTGTGCAGATTATGTCAAAATAATGTAAATTTGAATTCAAATACAGCTGTTTAGAAAAAGAAAAGAAGAAAGAATTTTTAGGAATAAAAAAAATTGGTAAATATACATTAAGGAATAACTTCCAAACGTAGATTGAAAGTGCCAATCATTTTAGGCAGATTTTTTTTCTGTTTTTTTGTCGAAAGAATTAAAATACATTATATCAAAATACGTGTGCTTTCGTACATTGATATACAAGTAATATTGGAACAGTTAGAGTATCTTAGATTTTGGTTATCAGAGAAAAGCTCCCGTCTTGGCTGAGATGTCAGTATGTGATAAGAACGTAGTTTTAATAACACATTATGTAGAGCCAAAGTGTTATGGAGGTCACCGGCCTCGCGCTGCCGCCCCCAACTTTCTATTTTTAAATACGTTCCAATTTTTGCCGAAAATTGTGGTTGTCCGTTTCTTTAAGATGCCAGTACCATTTTTATCTTTATTTATTTTTTACTTTTTATTCAACTGAAATATTATTTCATAGCGTAAGATTACGTTTATCTGTTGGTGGTTATTTCCAAAATTACCGAACTGATTACTAAAAAAATGTCAGGTGTGCTTCACGATTATCGAGCAGATAATAAAACGTAAACAGTCTGTTCATTCTCATCAAAACAGGCAAATCCTGTTTAAAATGTGTCCTAGTTTAGTAATTACGGAACAATGATTGACACTTATATATTCATCCCCTCTCAAAAATTAACGACGCCATCATAAAAAAATATGAATGTTTGTATCATTTTAGAGATTCTTGTAGATCTTGTTTTTCTGAATTCATGCTTTAATCACACTTTGTTAATTTGTTACATTTGGCCTGGTGCGGAGTGCGTGGAAATCGGGTGAACAGTCTAACAATTGCTCCACAAGTATGAATCCATTCATAAAGAGCAAGGTTGTGTCTGTTTCTAGTGAATTTTCCCAAAGAAAAATATTCCGACCAACATTTCAGCAAGGACACGTATGTCAATTCCGACACGTATAGTATACCTACAATGGTAATTACAAACAATATAGATAATAACACTTACGTCCATAAAAAACTGTGACCAATGGGTCAATCGAACAACGATATTCCTAATATACCCACATAGAAAAGTTGACAAGAATTGATTCAGTAGTTTTGTAGATTATACATCTAATAAAAATCGACAGACGACAGACGAAACCGCGAAGCCTACTTTTTCGTGCTCTAGGGTCTATAAGAGGTCGAGAAAATATGAAAGATCCAATCGCTGGATTGCAATACTTCTTTAGCCTACAATTTTTAACTTTTATTATTTCTCTAAGAAATTGCACCTGCTTAACTGATTGAGGGAAATGATTTTAATCTAATTTAACCAAAATTCCAAACATTGTCATTTATTTGAACATGCTTTTATTTTTTGAGTGTAAGCTACAGAAGTGTTGCAAGTTTTCAGAGCATTCGGTTTTTCAGTTCCTGATTTATTCAATAAAATAAATTGACTCAGTCATTAATTTTTTCGAGTCACCCTGTAAAAACATTAATGCATTGATAAAACACAAGTATAGACTCATCATATTTTGCACATTTTAGATAGGATTTATTCGGCAAAATTTTGTGGTGACGTCATCAATTTTTGGGGAGATTAACAAATACATTTTGATTAAGAATTTACTATGGTTATGATATTGACACAGGTGACGGAGAGACAGACAGGCAGAAGGAAACGGGACACCCATTTTTTTCTTACTCCAAGGGTGATGACTGATTTCCCATCGAGAAAATATGAAAGTCCCCTAATGGACTCGATTACAATACTTCCTTAGCTTACGCCCAGGAAGTAAAAATGGATCCAAACATTTCAAAAAAATTTGAAATAAATATTTATTTACAGATGTGCTTTTAAGCGAGGTTTTTAATTTTAGGACTGCAATGAACTTATAAACTAACTGATTGTATTCAATTTTCTCATACGTAAACAATATACTTAATTTTTAATTATCATGAAATTTGTAGGACAGTGTAACGGCATAAATTATAATAAGATTCGCATTAATGAACGCTTTTTAACCTGCATACAGACTTCACTCTTCCTCAGGGACGAAGAAAGTTTTGTTTAAAAAATTTAAAAGTGATGACGAATTTAATTATTGGGGTTTATATTAGCAACAAAACCATTTTTCTTATTTCTCATATTTATAGCGTGACATGTTTCGGATATCTAACATTCATCATCAGACGCAATTTTCAAGAACAGAAAATTAATTGTTACAAATAAGATAAAAACACTATTCCTGATAATAAGATGAAATCAAATAAATATGGAAAATTTAACATTACAACGTTGAAAAAAAGCGACGTCAAATTATACAAAGGCCTGGCTGAAATATTAATGAATAAAGCAATATTGTTGCTATTACGCGTAAGTACGTATGAAAATCTATACGTTTGTAGACAAAAAATGATAATGTCACACAGAATATCATCAAAGCCTGCTTTGTATTATATTTGAAAATCTGTATATATTTTAACATGTGGGGGTTATTTTAATAAAATAAAACTGGTAGAATTAAAATTTACGATTTATTTAGGAAATAGTTATAATTAGAATTTTTAGGAAAACACTAAAAAAGATTTAGATAATAGAATAGAAAATTGACAAAATTTAATTATGTTAATTTCGTACTAACTTTAATTTTGTATTTAGAGACTGATTATTAAAATGCACACCTAATTTTATGAAAAATTATTGACTCCTAATGATAACAGTAATAAACATATTACACTGAAATTGTAACACTGCGTTCTTTGCTAATAGTTTAGATATCTCTGAATCATTAGTAACACATTTTCAGGAATTCTAGCCAAGATTGCTGTTTCAGACATGAAGACAGGCGCAAAGGACGGGAGATGTTTTTAATTCCAGTGGATTTCCATCCAGTTGGAGTAGAAATGGAAAGTAACAGATAAACAGCCAGTGAACAAAGCAACGTCGTGGACAAATTTTGGATAAAAAAGCACAGATCATCATTAGTTTGCGGTATAAATAGGTGTAACACGGCTACAAATGCATCTCTAAAGAGTTTTTTTTGTCAGCGATCTGCTATGTGGTTCCCGGCAAAGACAAAAACATCTTCAGGAAAAATATTTTTCTAAAAACAGTAAATACGTCCACAAAAGAAACACTGTGGTTATGTATCTTAGTAATCAATTTTCTATTTGTGAAACAAAAACTGATAACAGTGTTGGATAATGTAACAAACTTGGAATTTCAACAAAAAATAAAGAGAAATCTCTGCAAACATGTTATGAAAAATACATCTGACTCAGTTGAGCAGTTACATTCTCTTCAGGCTATTCGAATAAACTTTAGTCTATTTGTTGTTCTCAGTCTCACCATTCTCAAGCCCATTTACAAATTATTTTTTTGTTTTGTGCCAATTAAAATCCTGTACCTATACTTGTAATATAATAATTGCCTTTTGCATAAACACAACGTCTTTTTTAAACAGAAGACCCAGTATACATATTTTCGTTGATTTCTTTATAAACGTTATCTATTTTGCCACTGATTCCAGTTTTCTTTCAATTTCGCACCAGGTTTATTTTGAACATTTGTATTACAATATTTTATAAAGAGATAAGAAAAAGTACGCACTTTCTTGTGGTAATAAAATTGAGTCTTAAAACCGAGAGTGTTCATCAAAACAATTTAAAATATTATGATTTTCAAATATTGATATTTCATTTCTTTCAAATATGATACCTTGTATTTTATTCCAACACCTTTTTACTTCCCGAGCGCAAGCTAACGAAGGATTGCAATCGTGTCCATAGGACGGTTCGCTACTTTTATGTTTTCTCGACGTTTCATGATCTCTAGAATACGAAAACATAGGTCTCTTGTTTCCGTCCGTCTGTTTGTCTGCCGTCTGTCCACGTCTGTCAATTTTTATTAGGCAGATATTTCAGGGGCGAGGCAAGTTCTGTCGAAATAACCTTCGACCAATTTTTTGAACTTCTTTTTATTAAATATTTTCTATATCCAAAGTCGATAGTTACTAGTTTTTCACTTTTTTACTCTCCGAACGTAAGCTGGGGAAGTATTGTTGTTAATAGGGTTCATCGGGTAATTTGATACTTTCATGCTTTCTCGACATTTCATGATCCCAAGAGTTCCACTGCAGTCAAGAAAATCTAGGATCGCAAAATGTTAGTTTTGTTTGGCTTTGAATCCATTTAATAAACTAATTAGTAAACTATGACCATGTTTTACCTATTTGTCAAAGTAACAAATCAATCTAAAAACAAAATTCCTCATTTTAGCTTAACGTAAATGGCAATTATAGGAACTCTGTTGAGAGAATTGAATTATATATCGTATTCACACGATAATGAAAAGGAAGTGTCTAAAACAAAATTCGAATTTTGGAAATGTCCATGGATAAATTGTGTCCGGATTTTTATTAGACAGATAATCTCCGAAACTACTAAACCGATTGTTTACAAATTTTGTATGTATATTAGAAAACCCTATCAAAATTTGTCTAGTCATCCCACCAACAATTTTATGACGTCAGCTCACTATTTTGCGCAGTGAAGGGTATTTATATTTTATGCAATAATGTACTCCTGGTTTATGAATCGACCTTGCTTTTGTTTATTGTTATTATGATTATTGTTTAATTCTGTCTCTACTTTAGAGACATATTACGAAGTTCCACAAGCGGGTCTCGTGGTGGAGGTGATCGAGTTTACAAATAAAAGGCCTGGGTTCGAAGTCGATCCCTGGGCATTTCCAATTAATTTTTTTATTGTTCAAATCAAGAGCGGTTCACCCCATTTTCTCGAAAAGTAAGGGTACAGTAATGTTGCGCCCGGCTATATTTAATAATAATAAAATAAGAATCATAACAACGGCCACTTACCCAAAATAATATTCGACTATTTGGACCGTTTTAAATTTAATTAATTGATTAGCCCTCTCCTCTGTTTTGAAGAGACAATTACAATGAAATTTCATTTTCTTTTAACACAAATGCATACTTTGATCTGCCGCCACTAATGCTGGTTAACTGTACGTGCTTAATAGAATTCTTTCGAAATATAAACATGAACAAACGAAGTTAAGCCTGTACTGAGAGTACATTTTCTTTCAAAAGTTATCCCCCTTAAATATACATATTTCACATTATACACACTTGTGTGAATCCTTAGAATTTGCGGCATATGCACTGTGGGGGTTTTATTTAACACTTGAACACTCTAGAGATATCTTCATTTAATTTATAGGGTTATAAAAAATAAATATTGTAATTTTCCGAAGAAGTTGTATTTGTTTGATTGAACTAGGGGAGAGGGAAGTTCTATCTAAATAACCTCAGACCATTTTTTTTACACCGCTATATTTGGTGTTTTTTTATGATATTCACACAGTTGTTAAGACCTGCCTGCTCATTAAATTTTAATGTAACTAAAACTCGTCTCTATTTCGTGTAAATTTCAAGTCAGTGTTTCGGTATCTCAGTATTCAAAAGGTTCTAAAAAATTATCGAAATATTTTATGCTTATGAAGTTGTATTTAAAACTAGCAAAAAATTATTATTTAGAAAATAACTCAAAGAATGTTTGCAAGAAAGCTGCTAAAACGCGGTGCGTACGTAGTTTCAAAATCAAGGTTTGGTCATAAAACCTATGAAAGGTCAATCAGTCTATAAAAAATAAAGGTGTTCCGTTAAAAAAAAATATATATTACACCTCCAAAACGGAATCGTTGCAAATAATAGTGTATGCTACTCAAAGAACCATGCCTTAGTGTTTAACTTTTTTTCTGTCTCTAGTTAATGAGATATCGAAGTGACTCACCCTGTATTAGAAGGTCTTTATTTTATTGACAAACCAATAACAATGAATCAACAATATTTTGTAATTTCTTAAAACATTTTAGTATTCATTCTCATAACTTTTCTGTACACAGTTATCGAAATCTTATTATAAACGATAGTAAATTCAGACCAACATGTATTCAATTATATTTCTCCGGATATTGAGAAAATTTTAAGAGTGTGGTTAAAAACTGAAAATCTTTGAAAGAATTTAAACAACTGTCTAATTAACTCCGATTAGATCAATTATGCAATTAATTTTTTTCAAAAGGAACTAGAAAGTTCTTACACACTGCTTATCTTTATTATCTTAAATTACTTGGCAACCTGTTTTAAATTCGAAAAGCCAAATGATATCTACTAATTGATCGACGTTAAAACTCATTTTAGATTTCATCACTCAGAATAAACCGCCAACACCGCCCATTAAAGCTGAGATAATTCTGTTAAAAATATTTTACCTTGATATGTCACGATGGATGTCGAACCGTCTCCAACACATGAACGCGGAATTCCTTTAGATCTGAAAGCAAGAAATAAAAGTTGTTAGATAATTTGTTGATAATGATAAATAATCTGCTATCTCCTCACGGCAGCTATCATAATTATACAAAGTGGTGCATAAATACATACAGTATCTAGGCATGTCTTGTAACTATATAATACCTAAATATGCTTAATAGGTAAGGCAGACAAAGTACCGTTAGCCGGATAGTTATAAGACTGCTCATTATGAAAACTAATAGATTCATTATAACGTGCCCTACGTGTATTTTATATAAATGCTCCTGGTAACATGAAGTAATATCGTCAAAGATGTGTTTACCAGGAAAAAAGTTTTACGAGAAAAGGTTATGAACATCTAAGAAACGAAAGAAAAATTATTCTGACGTTGAACCTAACACTATATTAATTCCTAATGGTAAACTTTCACCGGGAGAAATGAACTCTTAATTAATTAAGCAGTGAAAGTGATGTAAAATTTTCTTTATTCTAATCTCGCTAATTGTGTTTTTCCATCTTATTAATCAAACTTAAATGTCACAAAATAGTAAAATGTAAGAATACTTGTTAAAAATGAAAAGTTCAAGGATTTCATTTTGATCGAGTATTAAAAAAAGTCATAAAAACACGCTTACATTAATTTTTTTGTAAAAGTTAAACTTTGATAGACTCGCTTAAAATTCTAAACATGTTCCATAGAAAGTGTATCGTAATTCTCCGTGAAGATGAAAATTGCATAAATTTCTTTTTGTGAAAGTAAATTGATGTAAATACCGTCGTAATGCTTACATCCACTTTTGCTTATTTCAGTTGCGCAATATTTACAATAGTTGTGGAGAGCTATTAATTTTACAAGGTACTTACGGAAACTTCGCAAGTAGCATTTTTACAAAAACCCACTGTATTTATCTTGAAATATCACTTAGATTGTAACAATTAACTTTTGGCTACCAAGTTAACAAAAATGGTACGATAAAAATGAATGGTCGAGTGTTAGAGATAAGGCGGTCCAAAAAATGGAATGCACAAATCGGGTTCCAAATAGTGCAGAGTGATCTTTCAGAGTTTTAGATAAAAATGTGCTTTAGTAGATCTTACGTTAGAGTTCAAATTGCTGGAATAGTTTTATCGCGTTATCTCTAATAATAATAAATAAACCATCCCTCTACTGTATATCTTTATTTACCTACAAACTCATCTTTCGATTAAAACTAAGTTCGTTTCAATTTTTGCTCGCAGAAAAATATAATAATTTCGTAGTGTCGATCATAAAGATAATTTTTCATGAAAGATAAATGGTCGACATTGGGTTTGTTGCAAAAATAATAAATTGAATATATATTATGATACAAATATTAATAAATTTAAGCACTGAATTCTTCTCGTACGTTGCGGTTTCATTAATTTAAAATATACAGATTTTGATTTTGAGTTATTCGTCTAATTTAAATTTTACTATTGTGAATTGGAAGCAAATAATGTTTTTTCAAATAAATTACAGTTACGTAAAAACTTGTTGAATTCTACAAAGAAAATTGTTAAAAATGGAGTCAATTAATTATAATTAATAGTCGAAAAGTATGTAGAATATTTGAATTTTGCTTTCTCGTACTACGTAATGTAAACAATTTATTTAGAATGAAAAGCATAATATTTCACAGAGCTGAAATAAAAAAGAAATAATGACATTTTTTTATTAATAAAATATCGTACTGTACGTTTATGTAGTTAAAATAGTGACAAAAATATTTGTTGGTAAAGTTTTAATATACATATAATGTAATAATTGTCGTAAAATCGACTATCAACAAAAAACAGAAAACAATAATTAATGTATACGATAATTTTCCCCGACGCTAGGGTTATGATAATGATTTTCTTTTTTTTTTATTTATATTTTCGCCATATTTTTTAAAGTTGTTTGATTTCCATTTTTTAAAGAACGGAATATACACATATTTTGTTTTGAAATGTATTTACAGAGTTCGATTGACTGTATTACGAAATACATGTGAAGAGTTTACAAGCTGTAAACAAGCATAAATGAAAAAAATATTAAAATAGAAAAAAGAATTGTCGGCAGAAATGCTGGACCATTTTTTTTGGAAAGAGATGAAAATTTTGTTTTATTGGTTTTGGATAATTATTGACTTAATGAGAATTTCATTAATTTTCTTTGTTTAGTTTGTTATCTTTGACTAAAAACATATGAATCAATCTCTGTTACTTTATTTCAACAAAATATTTTGAAATTGTAAAAATATAAACTCTATAAGTTGTCTCCGTCTTTCAATTTTAGTAAACTACAAAAATATCTTCAGTTTTTAACAAAGACCATTAGGGAATTATCAAATTACAAAAGTTCGTTATAACACGCAAATTACGTATGTTTTCGACTAAATACAAGAACTGGATAACCAGCCACCTCGTGTTCCTAAAAGATTAGATTACAAAGTTTTTTGAACTTTTGATTATATATAACACATATAACCTGATTTTGACTTAATTCAGAGGCATGGTAAATTGTATATAATTCTTAATCTAATTTTTACTTCTCAAGCGTAACCTAATCGACTCCATTTTACCTATTGCCACTTTCATATTTTGTCGATGTTTCATGACCCACTGTGTATCAAAATGTGTTAAAATTTAAAGGTTGTTACAAATAAACAGCCAAGCAGATTTACGAATTTAACTCGTTACTATGGAAATTTGCAATTTAACACCCTTAAAATTTAACAAGTTCTTACAGAATTACACCTATAGATCTAGCATTGTCAAAGCATTCATATTATTGTAGCAATTGTTAAGCCGTTTCCTGTCATGATTACTCCAAACGAAATATAAACAAGTGTGTGCGGTCTACAAAAATCTGAAATTTATATTTGTTTCAATGTATAGAGGTTACAATAAATAAATATTCGGAAAATCATCATTTTTATTTTTCAAAGTAACAGAATATGTTGGGCTGTACTTCAGGGGCGAGCGGAGTTCTGTCAAAATAACCTTCGACTAATTTTTTACTGCAGTTTTTGAAAGTTTTTTGAAGTTATAGAAGAAGACAAACTTTCGATGTGGAAATTTCATAGGTCTTTCGAAGCGTGGTTTTTAGCTTGAACTAAGTAATTTTTTTGGTTAATACTAAAAACACTTGATCCAATTTAATCAAATACGCGAGTTTAGTAGATTTTGGTGGAAGCAATAAACGGAAATCGAAAGTTACAAAAATGGAACATAAAATAATAGAACATCATGCAAATGAGTTGTATATTAAATTCTAGATACAAGAAGTGCTTGGGTGGGGAAGCATTTTTGTTAGAAACCAAGCTGAACAAGAACAAATAATTTAAAAAAGAAAGTACTAATAACAAGTCGCAAATTTGTAAAATGAAAAAATACAGATAAAATATAGTGGTGTAGGAATAAAAATGTGTATGTAAAAAAGAGATCCAAGAATTCTCCACTATACGGACCATTTCCATTAACCTAAATTTATAATATGGATTTTTCAAAATTGAATATGTGGGCTCAGGATGTAGAATCACAGTGATGACTAAAGAATTTGATACAAGACTCAAATGTAAACGAATAGTGGATTCAAAAATTAAGGAAGTTAAAATAACACTCTTGAATGAAATTATTAGTAAGCAAACTACTGAAATATTTACAGAAGTGGGACATCAAACGGCACATTTGTCTGAAATTTCCTATTTTTATTTTTCATTGTAAAAGTGTTCATTAAGCATTGAATATATATGTGATAGAAAAAAATATAAACCACAAATACATGATTATCATCGCCTATAAGCAACTCATTTACCTATTTCTTTTAATATATGTTTTGGTTTTTTAATTCCAAAGATGTGAGAGTATAATAATAGGTAATGATTAATTTCACATTATCTAGAAGTTTCACAATTCTTAAAATAAAAAAATGGGTCTGCCGTTTTGTATCTATCTTACAAACTACCTTGTTACCTGCTTGTTGTGAAATTTTAGGTGTACTTTAGGATTACTGAGACAAGTAATGCAGAGTAAATCCTACTTAAGCTTCTGCGCTTGATTTATAACCTTGTGCATATCAGTTTTTGGAAAACGCCAAAAATGTATAACGAAATTTTAAATTTATGTAACTAGAAACAACACAACCGATTATTCTGAGCTTGGTACTGTGAACAGGGTAAACCTCAAATCTTACTTGAAACGTGCTGAGTAATTTCTTAGTCCACTGTTATTTTTAACTCTACATAGATATATCAGTTAAAAAAAAAGTTTCATAGTTTCATAACAAAATGCACAATTTATATTTAAAACTACGTAACTGCTCTCAAATTTTGCATACGCCTCAATATGATCATGGACGTTGCAGCAAAATTTTTATTATTTCAAAAACGACCTGTTCATTTTTTATGAAATTCTTACGACATACGTTAAAATTAAAATGGTTATTTGTACGAAAAATCAGTAAATTAATCTTTAGTGAAGACTACGTTGTAATGTAGAATTGATCGGAAGGGGGACGCTCTACCTCAATACCCTTCGTCATTTTTTTTTTAATAAAAATTGGACATAAATGGGGAATTCCGAAAAACCCATCTGTTTATTTTTATCGACTACATAACAAGCAGATTTTCATAACCAAAACGTAGGTTCAATGAACGATATTATAACACCTATTCTCAGAACTAAAGGAACGTTATCATTTGTAAAAAAACCTGCGACTTATGAGAAAACATATTTATATGATTAGATATAAGAAAAAAATCACTATTTTTATTACATTTCCAAGAAGGATTTTTTCTCAGAAGTATTTAAAGATTTAGAAAAGGGAGTGATATAAAGTCGTACCATGATAAGATTAAGGCGTAATATGACAACAAATAAAATGACCAGCCCTTAAAACTTTGACAAAAATATAATCTCTGTTATTCGTAGGTACTATCAAAAGAGTGTTTTTGTTTTAATTGTTTTAATTCTTTCTCATAAAAAAGCGCTGTTTTAATAATACATTAATTAGTTAGACATTTTGTTTAACTGGTTTGGGTTAATGACCTCAAAATTTGTTAATACTTCACCATGTCGAATTTCGTAATTTTTAGTGACAATTAACAACATAAAAAAGGCAAAAACATTAAGCATAGTTTTTGCGAATAATGTTGTTTGTTGTTGTTGAATTATATTATTGCCATAGAAAATAAAAACGTACATTTTCATATACCATACGTTCAGTGCATTAGTGACAAAAAGCAATGAAAAATATAAATTTGGTATTAAGGCGCTTTATCTACCGATGTGATCCGGTGCTTTCTCATTAGTATTTATACCGGTATTTATTGATCAGTGCAAATGGATAAGAATCACAAATAATATTCTTCCTCAGACACCTTCCAGGTATAAGTCACCATAACGGTAAAAATGTTCGTGCATTTGTTGATAAGAAGAATCCATCATAGTTCAGCAGACCCATATTGGGACAAATGAACATTGGAACAGATAAACAACTCCAACCTCATTACAGTTTCCTATCTAACCGACGCCTGTCAAAACACCAGTTGTTGAAACATGGCTTCCGATGGAATGTCGAACGTTGGTAACGAAGAAGAACCTAACGATAATGATAAGTACAATCCAAAACTAGACTTTTTTAGTGAAGAATTTGATCCCTTACTAGCTCTCAAAACACCGAACTTAGTTGTACCCGTTTCGAATGCGACCACTCATGACAACCTTCAGAAGTTTAAATCGGTGGTGGAGGGTAAAAGACAAGAAAACACGAGTAAAGTAGCAGAAATTTCCACAGAAGTTTCCATAGAAAGGCGATGGTTGCCTCATCAATGTAAGTGTTACTCTGGAACTTGCATAAAACCAATCTGTGACCCACATTCCAAAAAGTTAGGTTATGTCCGTTGGGTTATTGTTAAAAATGTAATTAGAATGCGGATATTGAAACTATGTACATGCATTGTAGAGTGAGCTGCACTTATAATTCATATAGTCCATCACGAGGTCGTAACGAACTTTTGAGGTTATCTTATCCAAGGCAATAATTTTAGAAATGTGTAATTTATACAAATCAGCTGTTGTTGCAGAATTTAAAATTTAAATTATCTGCACAAGAAGAGATAATTATGTCAAAATTCTAACTGGATGTAGTGTTTATTTTTTTGACATACATAACAACATAGGAAGTTTACCCGAAGCGCAAAATCAAGAATGACATGACATGCAGTTCAAAGAAGTTGCCTCTCGACTTAGAACTCGTGTATTAGGAGCAATAAACTTTGGACAAAAAATAGAAAAAGCGAGTGAAAGCACTTCATTGTTTGTTTGGAGTTTCATGCCTATTTTAACATGACCTGAGTATTTATATAATAATAAGGAGGTGCAAATGTAAACGTGGACTCACATTTACGGAAAGACATTCGTTTTCTTTAATTTTGTTTACAAATTTTAGTAAACGTTTAGGAGTAATAAATGAGGATGTGAATATTTTTTTAGTCAACTAATTTTTATTTTATTTATTTAACTAAACACATAAAAATACAAGGTTTTAGGTTTACTCAAAGAAATACTACAATAATTGTAAAACTTTGGCTTCACGTGTTTATAATTGTTGCATGCAGAGGGCGCCAACGCGACATTGTGTTACTTCGGCGCTTTGATTTGTTAACAACGTTGTAAATATTAAATGTTGCGTTATGCGTTTATCGTGCGTAATTCTTTGACAAAACGATGCTAAAAGTTGGACAATGAAATAAATGTGCAAGACACTAATGTCTATACCGTCATGGTGTAACTAGGGCACAGACAGTATAGTCAAGCATTTGGAGTCATTGACAGTTTAAGTATTTTATATTTAGACTTTTGTTCCCGAGTAATCCCTTAGTTTATGTTGAGAGCAACGTCCTATGTCTGACAGACTTGGCACTCGCAAGCTATTTATTATTGTTTCTTACGTAATTAAACTATTTTTGATTGCATTCCTGAAGGCTGTAAAATTGAATGAATATTAAAAATTGTGATAGTTTACGCAACTCTTACATATTTTCTTTTATTTTAAATGAAAAAAAAATAGTAAAATGTGCAAACTATTTATCCCGAAATTAGTTCCGCTATGTCTTCAAAAATGAAGAAAACCTGTAAATACTATAATAATTCTAGATTCGCAGATACGTTTCCCATAATTACAATACAAGTCTATGATTTAAGTTGTTATATATCGACAACCCATGTCATGCTTTAGAGCTTCTAAAGATGCACTCACGCTTTGGTATTTGCTCATTTTTGCTTTACATATTACGTGCAAGGCATTATACTTTTAACAGGAGCAATTTGTATATCAGCGTTTAATACAGAAAATTACATAATTTGAGGTCATAACGTCCGTATGTGGTAAGACTGATGTAACATTGACCTTCCTGGTTGGTCGGTCATGGCGGGTTACTCAGTGCAGAAGTGCTGGTGTTCAGCACCCGTGAAATTGTCTACAAGCACTAACGGGTTATGGTTATTCTCTTCAATTCATACGTTTTCTACATTTGTGCAAGTTTACAGGCCGTTTGGTCCAAAAATAATATGATAAGATCTTGGCAGACGTTCTAATCTAATAAGTTGGCTGTTGGCACTAGGCGCGGAGTAATTTGTTTAATGATAACGGGAATTTAATATTTTTATTAACAGTTGAACGATTCTGGTGGTAATTGATAAGGATTTGCCGTAATTAAATGAGAAATTCTAGCTATGTTCTCGCACTCTGAAGAAATCTAAAACGCTGCTTACTCCATTTGATTAATTTGTGATACAATTAAAGTTTGTTAATTAACACGGTCCACTGGTTTGTGTAATCTTAAAATTACTTCAACTTATGATCCGAAACATCACGGCACAACAGTAAAATGAAAGTTTAATTTTTTAAATTATATTAGGAACCACAATGAGGTTTTTGGTAGTTCTTATAATTAGCGATCGAAAATGTCTTTTGAATTAACCCCCATACATATTCAGTACTTTCTATTTAAAATGTGATATTCATTGTAAACAACTGTCTCCCAATTGAAAATAAATGTTCGTATTAGACTATTGCTTCGGCTATTAACCAAATAAAAGACTCTTGTTTTGGTAAATAATTAAAAGATTCGGAAATGACAAATTTCATTTTTGCTTCCATAGTGCAAGATAAGGAACTACCAGACCGATTTGTCAAATTTAAATATGTATCGTGTACATGCTAAAACGCCAGATTTTATAAAATAACACTCCTATACTTGTGGTTTATGAATCCTTGATTGTTTACAAACTAGGTATCTAAATTTTCGCAGAAAAATCTCAATTATGTAATAACACAGGCACGTGGAGACCGATTAACTCAATTGGTGAAGCATCGTGGTAATAACGCGAATATCACAGGTTCGATCCCTTCATCGGCTAGTTTTTTTCTTAGTGTGTGACTGGTATTATTTATGTTTTTAGCTCATAGGGCTTAATATAAAATAAATAAAATTTCGCATAATCAAATATTATAATTTGTGCTTGTTTTTGTGTCAAACTGGCCATTCTGTTCCTCGTTAGCCAGTGTATATTTATTAGTTGAAGAAAAAGAAAATAATGAAAAAAGTTTTTAAACTATTTAATAATAATAAAAGTCCTACCAGTTTTTGTGGTGAAGAAAAACCTGCTAGGCCTTCTCATTCACCCGACAGTGATGTAATTAAATATTAACATTTTGAACCATGATTATCTATAATGATCTGAACGATCTAACCTTTAAGCAAGTTAGCGAAAAATAAAAAAAGTAAACAGTAATTGTATTAAAGTTTCCGTCATGTTAATCACTTTTCAACTGAATGTGTGATTAAAAAGTTAGTGGCCTATCATGTAGTAGCTAACATATGTTACTGAAGAGTGATAGTAAGAGTTCATCCAAGTGATTGTACATTTTGCACCTTATTTTAATGAAGGACTTGATTGATTATTATTCACAAATTTGTTTATCATCCAAACATTATGATGATTCGGTAAAGTTACCACCACATTTGGCGTTAACTCTTCTGTAATAAATCGATTTTCAGTAAATCTAAGAAAAAGTGAAAGAGAGGCGTCGAAAAATTCCGTTACATAACTTTCTCCCGACCATCGACTTTCTATCACTCGCAACGTGCTACCGGGAAGGTAACTTTTTTACTTCAGTGACAGGAGCTTCGAGAATTTGTGGGTTAGTAGTTATTCCACGCTTTCGCTATCTACCATCATTAGATTTTTACCTCAGTACATGGACAATTCCGTTCGAGTAATGAAAAATATCTCACGATCGCGAAAATTTCGAACCATTAACGCAATTTGAAGTTTATTGATAATGATCCGGAACAAATGGTTACTTTTCGAATCTCGTAAATTTTTCAACCATGATATTTCTGTATTGTTCTTGTACGATTATATTATATGTTTTATACCGCATGGGGTGAATAAACTATTCTAATTTTCCTTTTTTAATAGCAAAATTTTCCAATTTCTTGTTCGTTCTTTGCATTTCCCTTTATTTTGAACTTTGTTCGTCCGTGGAAGTCAAACATTTATGACAAACCCACATCCCAAAGGATTTTATTTCGGTGATTTGTGTTCTTATACGATAAGTAGAAATCAAAAGGAGGCGGCTTAATTTAAATTTGAGCTGTTGAAGTGCTAATAAAACCGCCGATAAATTTTAGTATCCTATAAGAGATTTAGCTATCACAACAAAAGTAATAATCGAAACGTACAAGGTAACAATCGTCTGCCATTCAACAAGAATATAAATTTTTAAAAATTAATAATCTAAATAAAATATTAGAAATAAAAAATTAGGATATTATCCTATGTATTTATTGTTGAAAGTGTTGTAAACTTATTGATTTTTGTTGCGACTCGTTTGTTAATAAATATATATAATTTTTCACATATGGAGTTGAAAGTTTGTGGCCTTATTTAAACCATAGGTACTTTAAGCCTTAATGTGATGCAAACACTGCAAAATGAATTCATACCTTTCGAGTTTGCAATTTTTCGTGGATGCTCATATTGCTCATTATTTTGGATTGTAAAATTTTGGTTCATAAATGCGTTAAAAAAAAATTTCTGACTTCCTTCGGGCTAACTTAATTCCCTGGATTATTATTGGAAATACAAAAAAGAACAACAAATTTTACGTTTTCTACTCGTACATGGCGCGTAGAATACGAAAAGGTAGGTTCCGTTTCCGTCTCTCGGTCGTTTGAATTTAGTGGAGTGATTTACTTTTCATTTTGGATATATTTTAAGAAGTTTGTGTAGATGATAAAACGCAATCTAAAATTTGTCTGCCCATCCCTAACAGAAATTTGATGACGTACAACTTTTCGCAGAAAAGAGAAAAAAAGTAGAGAATGAATAAATTAATTTTATTGATTTGCTCAAAAACGGTTTATCTCAGTTTAATACCTGTAATATATTTTTACATATTTTCATTAGCCTATTCTTAGGCACTACAGCTACATATTATTTTTGAAATTCCGATGTGATGTTGCCTGCTAATTTTTTTATCAAAATTTCGCAGTAACGATTATGTTTAAAATTTGTGTTACATTATATTGTGGAGAGATGAATAAAGGTATGCGCTGTGTTGTGGTATAAACAAGGTTGAATCTTCGTATACAGAGTGTTTTAAAAAAATTAAATAATATAGTGTTCAAATATCGAAATTTCAGTACACAACACCCTGTATTGTATTACTGCATCGTAGTCTATTTTTTGTTCTCTTTCTTTTTTGTTAAGTGTTTTCTATATTTAAAGTTGCGATTTTGAACTTTATTAGGCATAATAGAC